AAAACAGTTCAATTGAGCCTCAAATTATTCTCTGTGGCTTCCTCTCCTATGAACAGACTCAACGGCCAAAAAATTCTGCAAACAAGCCTATTTTACCAAAAATATGAGCTCTCAAAAATTTTTCATTTAATACAATATCCCCACCAATGAATTAAAAATATAATCCCTATAATATACAGTAATACTGTATACTAATATAAATGTTCCATGGCATTGAATCAGGGTTAGACTGACTTTGTTGGGAGGTGATCATTTGTTGTAACCAGATTATACTGTATGCAGAAATGGCATCCATATGTATTATGCAGTATACATACTGTAATGCAGGTTAATTAGGCAGTCGTCAAGAATGAAAATTTGTTATGGCAACTGGAAAAACCCGGGATTAAAAAATTTAATGTACCGCAGGAATTAAAAATTTCCCACAGCACACTGACTTTTCGAGATATTGAAATTCGATTTTACTGTATTCCGAAGATCAAAAACAATCGTAAGTAAATTAATAGATAAGGTACAGTACTGTACTATAAAAGCACTGAACTTAATTAACAAATTAATGAGATTTATACTCACCAGAATGTACTACGGCGTTCATCATGCTTCTTTCCGCCGGTGGACACCATTTTGATATCATGACGTTTGCAGTTGGCACAATAAAGCCCTGCAAAAAAAAAGCGCACATAAACATAAAAAAAACAGTAAAAAAAAACACACACACACACAAGCTAATGTTTAAAAATTGTTGTTTCAACAACACCATATTTGACGAACGTACCAAACTCAGGCCGGAGAGTATTCTTTGAGCAATCAGCAAATTGATGCTGGTCCCAGCTGCGAAAGGGATGAGAAAGTGCAAAATTGCTGCAGAGATCATGCCACAAGCTATCACTTCTTTTCCGCCGAAATGTTCGGCGATTCTCCCGCCAAAAAGCTGCGTCCAAATGTATCCCATGAAGAAACTGCTCATAATCACCGTTTGAGTGCTTTGACGCCACACAAAGGGACCATCCAACTATATAAAAAGGAAAGACAAGACGACAGGGAAGACAAACAAAAATATAAAAATTTGATGCGATTATATTCACTGCATTTTGAATAATTTTTTTTCAACTTGAAAACATAGAAAACAGTATTTCTCTGGCTGCCAAAATGTTATTCTGCAACACAACCGCCATTATTCAAATTTATTTGACCACGAATTTTTCACCTCGCTTCGTAAAAAATTATTTTTATTCACCAACAAGTATTTCAGAAGTATTTTAAATACAATATTTGAATATATATCTAAAACAAATAAACATCTCGGTTTCGATTTAAAAACTACGGTATGTTTCCACAAACCATAAATGATGAAAACGCAAGAAATTTTCCGGAAATTATATTAAATCCAGGTAATGTATTTTAATGATTTTTCGGAGAATCTCCCGAAAATAGAGAAGCTTTAAATTAAATGCCTTTAAAATTTCATGACCCACGATTTTAAAGAGAAGCAATCGTTTATGCATGGAACTGAACTCGACTCCATTTGCATTAGTAAACCCGAATTATCCCTAAAATTAAATGGAACTCAAAAGCTGTACTTTCAGAGCATATCTCGAAAGTTGATAGTTATGAAAAATTTTTTTATTTTCAAATTTCATTGCCCACAATTAAAAAACCAATACTGTTAGTATTTCAAGTTGAAATTAAATTCGTTGCTTAAAAACCACAATCGAATTTTTTTTTCAAGAAAAGCGAGAATGTATTTCATAAATGAAGTCCATGTTATGCGAATTTAGTTTAGACTAGTACAGTATTTGAATTAAATTTTAATCATATATCGACCGATTTTTTTGGGATCTGGTGGTAATTTTTAGGTGAAGTTGGACGCTTGTACGATATTCCTTCCTAATTTTTCCAAGAAAAAAATTCTGTCGAAATCCCTAATTTTTGTTCATAAAATGTTTTTTTTTTCAAGGAAATGAAATTGTTAATTTCCTAAATCTTCTTTTAAACCTGAAATTGCGTTAATTTCCTTTGACCTCCCGTTTTTTTTTCACGGGAATTGACTTCTGTACAGAAAAAAATTATTTTCTTAATGTCTTTGATTTCCCTAAAGGTAAAAGAATCAGGAAGGAATATCGTAAGAGATTAAACTTTCAGGAGATGAAACTTCCCCTAAAAATTGTGCCCAGCTCCGAAAAAATTACAATAAAAAATTCAGCCGATATGAGTAAAATTGAATTCCTGAATTAAGTCTTCAACACTCTTCCCGAAAATACCCCTCTTCTTGATTTTCTGAAAATTGTATATTAAAATTACACAACATTAATAACGAAAAAAATCATCCCTAAAAATACTGTACACGAATACACAAACAAACCACACTTGACCAACCCCCCCCCCCCCCCCAACCCAAAAAACATCTTGACCTTTTCGTCCGAAAGGTCAATCGGAGGGACGTCGGATGCATTGACCGGCTGATCCCCAGCAGCACCAGCACCAGGGCCAACGATATCACTCGGAAACCACGGAAGTGGACACACTGTTCCGGAAGTGGTGAAATTGCCGAGTCCGGAAGCATTGCCTCGGGCTTCCGCGTCCATCAGGTCCAACGCGGTGTG